GATTTGTCAGCACCCATGAGGGTGCTCGATGGAAGGAAAACCCTCAGAGTGGCCGTTGGCACTTCGGTACCCGTTGCTGACAGTCACGCTCTCTTGGGAAAGGCTCGAAACCCCAGCCTCTGGGCTTTCTGTGGTGCCTCACAGTGTTCAAAGCATATGCGCTCATTCATTCATTCACTCATCCATTCATTCTCTCGCTCACTCGCTCACTCATTCAACCAAGAGCTAGCGGAACAGCGGCTGCGTGCCAGGCCCGAGTCTAGAAGCAGATCCCACCGTCCATGGGGGTAACACCTCACACGCGGTGTGGTCGGCAAGGCTCTGAAATGAGCACTGTTTCTATGTGGAAGCGGCCCTGGATGTCGGGCGCCCGAATGCCCGGCCCCAGCCTGTTCTCGGAGCAGCCAGGCAGGTCTGAGAAACCTTCCTCTGAAGAATGCGCCCCCGGTTCCTTCCCGCGGCCTGCGGGGCCCCGAGGGCCTGGCTTCTCCTTGACCTCATCTTCCGCCTCGATCCCCTGCTCCCCCTAACTCAGCTCCTTTGTCTTCTCTCCGTCCTCCAGCGTGCCGAGCTGGGCCTGTCTGGGGTGGTTGGCACCTCGGTTCCTGAACAGCCCCCGCCCCCCCCAGGTGTTTCCTGGCCGCTGTCCAGATTTCCGCTCCGCTATGAGCTGCTCAGGGAGGCCTTCCCGCCATCAGTGTCCCGGCTCTGCCTCATCTCCCCTGGCGCTCTCCGCCGCGAGCGATGGACATGGACGTGGCTGATACAACGGGTGGTGGAGAGGAGTCCAGCTTCCCGGTCGGACACCCGGTCTGCTCCCCTGTCCCCACCAGCTGCCTGGCCTGGGTCAGCGTCTCCATCTCAATCCCATGAAGACGGAAGGCAGGCCGTGCGCGTCCTCCGCTCAAAGCCTTCCCAGGGCTTCACGGCCCAGACAGTGTGAGGGGCGGCTCCTTCCTCTGCCCTGGAAGCCACACCAACCCTCCGTCGCCTGCCCGCCCTCCTCCCTCTCCTTCCCCTCTCACAGCTTCTGCCGCTCTGGCCCTTGCTCGACCAGGCACGCAGCTGCCACAGGCCCTTAGCCCCCCCCTGGCTGGAAAGGGCACCCCCGCCCCTCCGTCCTCTGCACCTACCCGCCCTCCCTCACTTCCTGCTTGGTTTTCTCCGTGGCACCACCAGCTCGGAGCCTGTTGTGTCAGTGACTCATTTGCTGATGGTCTGACTCTCCCCACCACAGCGACAGCTCCACGGGAACGGACTCGTGTCTGCTTGGCCACGGGTGTGTTCCCGCACCTCGGCTACGGGCTCACGGCCACTGCCTCCCACCACAGCGACAGCTCCACGGAACGGACTCGTGTCTGCTTGGCCACCGGCGTGTTCCCGCACCTCGGCTACGGGCTCATGGCCACTGTGTGGACAGTGAACAGGCTCAGCCTGCTTCCTCCTCCGTGCAGTGGGCGGGTGCGGCCCTCCCTGACGCGAGGCTCCCCAGGGGGCAGTCAGAGACGAGGCTCAGTCACACTTTAAGAGCAGAAAGACCCCTCCTCCCCCGCCAGGCCCAAGGAAACATGTTTGCTAACATGCACCGTCTCACAATCCTCACAGGGCCTGCCAGGGGAGCTGAGCTGGGGAGACTGCGGATGGACCTGGACCCTGAGATGTTTGACGGCCGGGAGAAAAGAGCGTGGGTTTGGAGGCGGACGGCTCCGGGTTCCAATCCAGGGCCTTTGATCACCCGAACAACCGCAAGTTCGGTGACCTCCCCGAATTCCCATTTTCAATCTCGAAATGGGGGAAAACATCACGTGGGTCCTAGAACTGTTGTGAGGGCTCAGCGAGGCCGTGTGGGAGGTGCAGGGCGGGCTCCCCAGGGGCCCTCAGATGGGGAGACAGCTTGTCAAATTATTTCCTCTGTCTCCTCCACTTAGTTTTTATCTGTCCTATCTCTCTGGTATTTTTTTCTTTATGACAGTTACCACTAACTGAAACTATTTGCTTATGTAGTATCTATAGATAATTGCTAGAATATAAACTCTGTGCACAGTGACTTCTGTATTGTTCTCTGCTGTAGCACCTAGAATGGTGCCTTGGATCAGTAAATGTTTTGTTTTATGAGCAAATAACTTAGTCCATTGATTTCTGTGTTACAAATAGCAACCTACTTTAAGGCCAAATATATTTCAGAGTAGCTTATTTTATCCCCCCCCAAAGCCAGAAATTCTCAAGCAGCATGTTTTTATTTTTTTTTAATTGATCTCAGAGAGGAAGGGAGAGGGAGAGGGAAACATCAATGAGAGAGAATCACTGATCGGCTGCCTCCTGCACACCCCCCACTGGGGATCAAGCCTGCAACCCGAGCATGTGCCCATGACTGGAATCGTACCTGGCCCCCTTCAGTCTGCAGACCGACGCTCTATCCACTGCGCCACACCGGCTAGGGCCGAAGCACTAAGCTTTAATGTGAAACAGAAACGTGGGCACTGGCCTTTGTTCTGGCCTCGATGAAGACAGGTTGGCCTTCTTCCACGAGGGGACAGAGATGGGACTCGGGGCAGCTTCTATCTCCACCGACTAGATCTCGTCGCACCTCCGTCCCCCACTCGTGGGTCCTGTGCAGGCTTTCCTCGCGATCCCGTGGCAGAGCCCCGCCCCCACCGGCAACAACGGGAGTTGGGGAGAGGGGAGGGCTGATTGGCATGGGGAGCCAGGATGTTCTCGTCCGTCCAGAACGCCATCCGAAGCCCCCACTCTCACCTTTCATTGCTTAGCGTTGACTACACATGACGTGTGACATGGATTCCCATTCAGACGAGGCCAGTGAAGGACGCACAGAAGACGGTTCTACAAGTCGAGTCGTAGCGTCAGGACGGTGGAGGAGGGCAGCCTCTACGCTGGGAAGTACCTGGGTGTGACCCCCACCTCCTCCCTCTGCGGAGAGGAACGGATAGAAGGGGGTGCTTGGGGGATGGGATAGACACACAGAGCCCAGACCCGAGGGGGAAACCCATGCATCACGCCTGTCTGTTCCCGGGAAGAAGCTACTTGTTCTTGGTGACAGTTGGCAATTAAACACGAGAGGCCTCGCTATGACTCATGCTCAAGGCGGGAGGAGGAAATAGCGAGAGGCACCGAGGCTGCATCTTCCAAGTGACAGGCGCTCCCTAAGCGTGGCCCAAGCTGGGGGACAAGTGGGAGTGTCTGCACTCCTTCCACATCCATCAAGGGGCAGCTGTACACCAGGGGTGGGGGCAGCTTTGCCCGCGCACCCTGCTGGAGTTCATGGCCTGGAGTTGGGTAGGGTCAGGGTTGGACCTGAGTTAGAGTTACAGATAGGGTTGGACCTGCATTAGGGTTAGTTAGTGTTAGGGTTAGTCTTGGTCCTGAGTTAGGTTTAGAGTTAGAGTTAGGGTTATGGTTAGTGTTGAACCTGATTAGGGTTATGATTATGGTTTTGATTAGGGTTAGGTTTGGACCTGTGTTAGGGTTAAAGTTAGGGTTAGTGTTGGAATTGCATTAGGGTTAGGGTTAGGGTTGGACCTGTATGAATTTATGATTATGGTTAGGTTTTGACCTGTGTTAGGGTTAAAGTTAGGGTTAGTGTTAGAATTGCATTAGGGTTAGGGTTGGACCTGCATTAGGGTTAGGGTTAGGGTTGGGGTTGGGGTTTGGGTTAGGGTTGGGGTTAAGGTTAGGGTTAGGGTTAGGGTTAGGTTTAGGGATAGGGTTAGGGTTGGACTTGCTTTAGGGTTAGTGTTAGGGTTAGGTTTAGAGTTAGGGATAGGGTTAGGGTTAGGATTAAGGTTAGGATTATGGTTGGACTTGCATTAGGGTTAGTCTTAGGGTTAGGGATAGGTTAGGGTTAGGATTAGGGTTAGGGTTGGACCTGCATTAGGGTTAGGTTTAGAGGTGGTTAGGCTTGGTCCTGAGTTAGGTTTAGAGTTAGAGTTAGGGTTATGGTTAGTGTTGAACCTGATTAGGGTTATGATTATGGTTATGATTAGGGTTAGGTTTGGACCTGTGTTAGGGTTAAAGTTAGGGTTAGTGTTGGAATTGCATTAGGGTTAGGGTTAGGGTTGGACCTGTATTAGGGTTAGGGTTAAGATTAGAGTTAGTCCTGCACTAGGGTGTTAGCATTCACGTTTGGGTTAGGGATAGGGTTAGCGTTAGGTTTAGGTTTAGGATTAGGGTTAGGGTTTGGCCTCAATTAGTGTTAGTGTTAGTGTTAGTGTTAGGGTTAAGGTTAGATTTGGACCTGCCTTAGGGATAGTGTTAGTGTTAGGGATAGTGTTAGGTTTCGGGTTGGACCTGCATTAGGGTTAGAGCATTGTGGAGGAGCTGGAGTTTGTCTTTGAGACACACCTATTTCTAATATGTAGGAATGGTAGTTGACAGACACCTGGAGTAGGAGAGACAGTTCGCTGTCCCTCCCAGAAAGCAAACTCTGGTCCCTCGGCACCCGCATGGGGAGGGGGTAAGGTCTGACCCACCATTTGTGGAAAGTTTAAGAGTATTTTTCTTTTCTCCTTTTTAAAATGTTTATTGATTTCAGAGGGAGAAAGGGAGAGGGAGCGACAGGAACATCAATGTGACACATCCATCGATTGCCTCCTGTACCCCCCTTGTTTTCCAATGTGCAGCGAGCCTGCCTCCTGGGCATGTGCCCTGACTGCGAATCAAACAGAGACCTCTTGGTTCATAGGCTGATGCTCAACCACTGAGCCACACCATCTCTGAAGAGTATTTTTCTTTGAAGGAGCGTTTTGTGTATTTCCCCCTGGTGGGTAGATTGCACGTTTGTATCTATAAAATCATAATGAAGACGATTAACAGTAACCATATAATCCCTAATACAAGTTGTGATCAAGGTAGACAGAGCCTTGCATTGCTGAGTGTGGTTTTATTCCCTGGTAAAGACACCAAGTAACATATCACTGAGCTGGAATCCCCCACCCCCTTCTCTACGTTTCTCATTAAACGTGAGGTCTTAACTCCAGGAGGACACGCCCACCCCACCCCACCCTGAATAAGAGCAGTGTGGGAGGGAGGGCTGCCCAGGAAATCCTCTATTCTGAGCGCGGAACAGTGCGGACTCAGAGCCAGGCCGGCATCTCACGGCCGCTTCCAGCCCCTGCCCCTGCCTCTGGGCCCAGCATGGGAGGCACCGAGAGGCACCGAGGAGCCCTAACCGCTGCCAGGGTCACAATGCAGGAGAGGCAGCCCAGCCACGCCCGGATGGGACAGGATGGTGCTGGTGCGAGCGGAGGATGGAAAGCGTGCAAGCCAAGTAGACGCACATGGGCAACACCATCGCCCTGGCTCAAAGGAGGAAAGCAATGGCCATTCAGAAAATTGAAAATATGAAACCACACCCCACATTAACATGTCTCTTAAGGAATCTAAGAGATGACACCGGCAGCCACAAGGACTGGCTTGTGATGTAAAAAGTGAAAAGTAGGAGTTGGGTGCAAAGATAAAAACACAATTGACCACCGACAGGAACACACGGGCACTGAATAAGCCACACACCGGGCTTGTTTCTACCGAAACCCAACCAGACGAGCGCCTGAAACGGGAGAGTTTTGCCGCTGCACACACAGGACCCAGGGGTGCGATTATTACCCCTGTTTTAAAGCGAGGAAACAGGTGCTCATGAGATGACACGATTTGCCTGCGGGCTTCCGTCAGCACAGGGCAGGGCCGGCTTCTGCACACGGACCCGGTTCCAAGTCCAAGTGCATCCCTGGTGCGACAGCATCTTCCGAATCCACGGCGGGCGGGCTGCTCCCGGCGCAGGTCGGGAATTGCTGTTTTTGGCGTGGACCCAGTGTCCCCGAATGGACTGTCTACGGTGACCCTTGCTTCCTCACGTATCCACACGGGGTGCCCGGTCCACGGCAGCGGCAGCCGAGGACCCTCGTGAAGACAATCCTGACGCGACAATCTTACGCCCTCCCGGGAGACACCCTGCAGGGCGGGCTAGTCCGAGTTCTGCTGTGGGATGTGCTTTGGGGACCGAGGACACTCTATCGGAGTGACCGGGGTGGGGGCCTGCTGGAATGAAAAGTGGGGTGAGGCAGTCTTCTGCGAGTCAGGGGAGAAGTACATCCCCAGCCCAAGACCCTGGGCCCGGGCTGGTCTGCAGGTCACGCCACGTTGGACGGCCAGCGAGACCGGCCCGGTGGAGAGCGCCATGGGGACATGTCAGGTTCTGCGTGCCCGTGGGCACGGCACCTCCCCGGGAAGGGCAAACGCGCCCCTGTTGGTGTTGCCTTCTTGCTGCATTTTCGAAAGTCCCGCCTAAGGAGCCAGGACAGGTCGAATGGCAAAACTGTGACGGTCCGATCGCGTTGGGGTGGGAGTGCGCGTCCGACATCACCGTTCGAGCTGGCCCGTGTGAACCACTTTGTAAACGTCAGACGTTTTGCGTGTCTGCGACCCAACTGGACGCTCCCAGCGGCCTGTGATCAGAGGTGGGCGGAGAGACCCTTCGGCAGATGCAGAAAGCGGAGGCACAGGAGGGCAAGGCTTGTCCAGGTGGCACAGGGGATCTTTCTGGCAGCGGCCCCGCCCTGGCTCCCTGCTCCCAGCCTGGCTCTGTCTGCATCCGACCTTGGGGGTGAGGCAGGGACAGTGGCAGCAGAGAGGGGCTCGGTGGGCAGGGCAGAGACGGCGCAGTCCTGCTGGGCGGCCAGGCGGCTTAGCTGCTGCAGCCGCGGGCGCAGGCAGGGCCCGGCACGTTGTTGTTGCGCCCGTCCTGGAGCTTGCCCGGTGCCTGGCTCCCGGCGCAGCCCTCGGGGTCCAGGAGCTGGCTGCCCGGGCCCTGCTGCCTCCTCAGCCTGCAAACAAGCAGAGCGCAGGCGGAGTCAGTGCCACGGCGGGCATGGCGCGGTGCCCCGGACACCCCTGGGCAGGAGGGAGACGCGGGGCCCTCAGCCCACACCTTCCTCTGGCCTGGGAAGCATGGGCCCTGGAGGCAGGTGGGCCTGCGGTCAGAGCCCGGCTCAGGTGCACGCAGGCGAGTTTCTGCGCACATAGAGCCTCAGTGTCCCCATCTGTGAAATGGAGACCATCATGCCCACTCGTGGCCCCTCGTGTTGTGTACGGGGGCCTGAGCTCACGTCAGGGGAGGTGATGAGGCCCACCCATCACACCCACACATTCACATCCAGTGCCCACCGACGGACCAGCCCTGTGCGGGGAGCAGAGGAAACCCTGGCAGCAAAGCCTGTCTCTGTCCTCAGGAGCTGAGCGCCTGACGGGGCGGGAGGGGAGGTGTGGTCGGACCCTCTAGGCAAGGCTGCGGAGGTGTCTAAGGGTCTTCTTTCCCTCTCTGTCCCCTTCCCCCACCCTCTCCCAAGAGACACAGCTCCTCTGGACAGAAAATCATGTCAAAGCCAGGGAAACTCCAACGCCTAAGAAACCTATGGGAGTGAAGCAGAAATGCTTTTACTTCCAAACTAGGGCATCTCTAACGTTGTCGCAAGTCCCTGGGGCTCTCCCAGGATGAGGAGGGACCTTCTAAGATTTTCATTTAAGTGCCCCAAGCGGGGAGTGTGTATTTAAAAATAGCGCCCGTGCCCAAGGTGGCTATATTGAGAGCCAGCGTCGCTATCTCTAGACTCCCGGCCTTCTCCCCTTTTAGCACAAAATGTAACTGCAAAGGCTGCTTAGAGAGAGCGGAGCAGTGACGAGGGAGCCCCGGGGAGGGAGACGTGGGTCCCGAAATCCTGTGTGGATCGGGGTGGCTTCCCGGAGGCAGCATTTGAGCTGGACTTTAGGGATCGGTATGGAACGTGGAGAGTGGAAGGGAGTGAGGGAGATAGGGAGGGAGGAGAACTGAAATGAGGGGACACCCGTGAGGTAAGGCAGGGAAAGTAGAAAGACACTGCAGCGTGGACCAGTCCTCTCTGGTCCCCCTTTGGCCAGACTATCTTGAGGAGAATTAGCTGTTTCAAGTCTCCCCTCTTGTGGGGGTCACAGAACACTGACCAGGAGTGCTGAGGCCCAGAGCAGTGCTCCGCGAAGTGTGGCTCATGCCCCTCCACCTTCCCCTGGGAGCAGAGGGAGTGCGGAGGCAGAATGGGGAAGGGGGCACCCTGCTCTGGGCACCTGCCCACGCCCACAGCCCACAGAACGGGGATGCTCATCGCTCTGGAGGCTCCGTAGACGGCATTCTGCCCGCCACATCGGCACTCCCTCGCACCCACCCCCATTCACCACCACCCACCATCTATTCATCATAAATACCCCCCACCCACCATTTCTATCTACCTACCATCTATCCATCCACTGACTTGGCCATCTGCCCATGCATTTACCCCATCCACCACTGTCCATCCATCCACTCCCATGTCTACCCATCTGTCCCACCCACACCTCCACCTGGCCACCCTTACTCACCTACCTGTCCACCCTCCACCCACTTACCTATTCACCCACCCACCCACCTATCCACCTCCCAAACACACACCCATCCATCTATCTACCTCATCCATTCAACATCCACCTATCTTCTCCTCATCCATCTAACTACCCACTATTCGTCCATTTCATCTATTCCTGTCCACCCATCCATCGATTCTTCATGCACCCTCTGTTTACCAACCCACTCATGCATCCATCTCTGATCTATTGATCCATCCAATCATCCACCCAATCCCAATGTCCATCCAGCTACCCTCAACCCCACCTATCCGTTCCGCCTACTTGCTTACCCACCTCTCCCCACATCCATCTATTTATCTCGTCCAGTCATCATCTACCCATATACTGATACATCCTTCCATCTACCACCCGGTCCAGCTACTCATCTATTCTTCCATCCATCCATCCATCCATCCATCCATCCATTTCATCCAATCACTACCTACCCACCCGGCCATCTATGCATCCAGCCACACCCTTCTGCCTATCCATTCAGCCATCTACTCCCGTTTCCACTCTATGCCACCCACCCATCTGACCAGTGCCCACCCATCCCCCATCCTTCCGCTCATCCTTTCCACCAGCACGTTCTGAGTGCCAGGCTCCGAGTGCCAGGCTCACAGTTGAAGGGGCTGGGGAGCAGGACAGAAAGCCAAGAGTGCCCGTCTCTGCGGGAAGGAGGCATGTGGCGTAGCATTAGGGCCTGGGCTGAGAGCCAGGCTGTTTCCATCCCTGGGCTGCCACTTTCTAGCCGTGTGACCTGGGGAACCGGACTCCAACCCAGGGGCTGCCTGCCGCCCACACCCCTGCTCTTCCCCCTGAATCCCATGCCCTTCCGTCCGGGCGTGGGGAAAGGGGGGCAGGGAATGCCTTCTCCACGCCCTGAAGGAACCGAAAAGGCTCGCAGTGCTCCAATAGGAACCCTTAAACCAAGACAGATACGAAACCGTCACGGTTGGCCAAGCGCGCACCTGCATGACGCCCAGTTATCTCTGCTCCGGAGGAAATGGAAAAGGGCTGTACGTTCCCACGAGGTGCAGCTCAAGGCCAGGGAAGCGCACTGGCTTCTTATCTTGGCCATGGCAGCAGCACCTCATTCCTCAGCCGCCTTATCAGACTAACTGTCAGTGCCGTGAGCAGAATCCCTGTGACGGGCGTGGGATCCCAGCAGTGAGGATGACACGGGGAAGCAACCTGGCTGGCAGACGTGGGGCCCGTGGCTGGTTGAGGAGTTTGCGTTCCCAGGGCATGCGTAGAGGTGGGCCGTGGTGGAGGTGAGGGACCCACCCGGGCAGGTTGTCCAGGGTCTGGCCTATGGGTGGGTGGACAAGGCAGGGCCCCTTTCCCACTGGGGCTGGGGAGGGTGAAGAAGGCAGCAGCCTGTCACTCATCCTGGGTGGCCACAGCTCTAGGGCAGGTGGGGGTCAAGGTCAACTCAGACTCACACACGAGGCCCGGCCAGCAAGCCTCACCCACGGGCGGAGTCTCCTGGCCCCTGCTTGGCCAGCAGAGCGGGAAGGACCTCTGGAACCACAGCCGGAGTCGCTGGGGTCCAGCACAGCCCACGCCCATTAAATAATGATGACCATAGCAATCGGCTTTACCATGCCAGGCACCGTATCCACAGCCTCATTTAGTCTCATACCAGCCACAGGCAAGGTGGAGAGCTCACGTCCACGGCTGGCGTGAGGCCCGGGAAGCAAGCACCGGCCCAGGTCACGCTGGCAGCTGCAGCGCCAGGACTGGGCCCAGACAGTTACACTCCTGAGCCTGGGCCCCTCACCACCTGCGACCTCGCCTGTGCGTGCCAGCGTGCCTGGCCAGTTCCCACCTGCTTCCCCATTTCACACAGAGACGCTGAGGCCCAGGGGAGGGAAGCCAGCGCCTCGCTCGGCCACCTGGGCCGGGTCGGCGAGCTGTCCCCTCCCAGGTCAGGCTGGCATCCGGGAGCCTGCGGTTCCGAAGGGCTCTGCCTGGAGGCAGCTGGGGGAGAGGGGGAACTTACTTCTCTCTGTTGAATATGATGAATTCCTTCCGCACGGTCTCCAGGCACTGCTGCAGGTGTCCGTTCTGTCAAAGGGACAGACAGGTGACTGTGAGTGACGGGCAAAGGGCCAAGACCAGCAGAGACCGGTCGCCCGGGGCTGGGCACTAGCTAAGTGGAGGGAGCAGCCCTGCTGGCACTGTGGCTGTGCCAGGCAGCCTGGCAGACAAAGACGTTTTTCTCAGTTTGAAGCCACTAAATCTGAGCTGAAAGCGATGGTAGGGGGGATTATGGGCAGAAGATCCTGGGCGTGGCTTCCTGATGGCTCCAATGTCCGTCAGGCCTAATAAAGCATGAGGGGGAGGGGAGAAAGGCAAGGCATCCTGCAAGTGCTCATTCCCGCCAAGAACAGGTGCTGAGAGCCACCTGCCTCACCGAGGCTCTGCTGCTGTCCACCTGGCAGAGCTTGGGCCTGGGCGTGGGGCCTGGGTGTGGGGCCGGGGCGTGGGGCCTGGGCGTGGGGCCTGGGCCCACCGTACTGTTAGGGTCTACAAAAATGCTTCACTTTCTTTAAAATAAGCAGAAAAGCCCGAGGGGCGTGTGGCTCAGTGGTTGAGTGTTGACCTATGAACCAGGAAGTTACGGTTCGATTCCCGGTCAGGGCACATGCCCGGGTTGTTGGCTCGATCTCCAGGAGGGGGTGTGCAGAGGCAGCCGACCAATGACTCTCATTATTGATGCTTCTGTCTCTCCCTCTCCCTTCTTCTCTGAAATCAATAAAAATATGTTTAAAAAATAAGCAGGAAAACATGAACTTCCAGCATTGAAAGCTGACTTCATACCACTGCCGTCATTAAACATCATGTTTAAGAAGCTTTTCTGGCGGAAGGGCCGGCTGTGGGTGGAAATCTGCTCCTCCCTCCAAAACATACGTTGATGACCTGACCCCCCACAGGTGAAGGGAACCTTATGTGGCGATGGGGCTGTGCAGCTGTCACTCATGAAGATGAGGTCCCAGTGGAGTAGGGGGCCCTCAGCTCAAGGACCGGTGTCCTTCCAAGAACACTACGTGAAGACACAGAGCCATGGAGAGGAAGCGCCACGTGACGTGTAGGCAGAGACAAAGGGATGCGGCCACAAGCCAAGGCATGGAGACCCCCGGCCGCCACCGGGGCAGGAGAGGACGGAGAGGACTGCCTTCCAGCCTCTGGGGGAGCCAGGCTCTGTCCAGGCCTTGATTCTGAACGTCTGGCCTCCTGACTGGGGCGAGAATAACTTCCACTTAATGTTAAGCCACCAAGGCTGTGACACTATGGCAGCCTAGAAAGCGAATACAGCGGCTCATAAAGCCCGCGTGGCGTGCCCAGGGCCCCACGAACGTCACCCTGTGGCCCGGCTGTCTCCACAGCACGGACCTTCCACAGGGTGCTCAGGAGACAGCACCTAAGGGAGCCCCTGTCGTTCAGTATTGAGCTCCTGCCCGGAGACTCACGTGTTGGGTTCTTGTGGGTGTGGACTGAGCAAGATGGGCCAGACATGCCCTGGAGCGGAGGGTGGGAGGAGGCGGTGCTAAGGTGAATGATGGGAGCGCGCACGTGTAGCTCAGGCATGTGCTGCGATGAAAGACCATTTGTGGATGGAGGCATCTCATTTACAGCCAGTGAAGGCATTTGGTTGGTGACGTGACATGCCTCCATCTGTCTAAAGCAGTGATGGTGAACCTTTTGAGCTCGGCGTGTCAGCATTTTGAAAAACCCTATAACTCTGGTGCCGTGTCACATATAGAAATTATTTGATCTTTGCAACCATAGTAAAACAAAGACTTATATTTTTGATATTTATTTTATATATTTAAATGCCATTTAACAAAGAAAAATCAACCAAAAAAGTGAGTTTGCGTGTCACCTCTGTCACTTGTCTAAAGAGTAGCCTAGTGCCCAGCTCCATGATTGAGCGTCCAACTGCGAGCCAGGAGGTCATGGTTCGATTCCCGGTCAAGGGCACATGCCTGGGTTGTGAGCTCCATCCCCAGTAGGGGGCATGCAGGAGGCAGCTGATCAGTGATTCTCCCCCATCATAAGAGATATGATGTTGCTATATCTCTCGCCCTCTCTCTGAAATCAATAAAAACATATTTTAAAATAAGAAATAAGGAATAAAAGGTAGCCTAGCTCCATCGCATCCCTGGGAGCACAGGACTCCCGCCCTCTCGGGGAACACTCCCCCTCCTCCCCCCAGCCATGGCGCTCACCAGCGGGCAGCTGTCCTTCGTGCTATCTTTGGACCTGTTCTTTGCCAACCGCTTCTTCTTTTTGTGAAGCGGCTTGGATTCGAGAATCATTTCTTCAAGTTCAAACGTGGGATCACAGTTCAGTCTCCCTTTCTGAAGGAAAACAGGGTTTGTCTTTGTTCCACCCACCACCGAACTTTACTTCCACTCACTCACTCAATCTTTCATTCAACAAGTATCGATGGCCTGCACCTGTGGGACACAGCTGCTGTATATATTTTTTTCTGATGATGAAAAGCAACATGTTCCCATTGCACACGTCCTTCGATTATCCCCCTGGCCCTGCCCCACACCCCGGGAAGCCCCACCGCAACGTCCACGCGCTCCCAGTCTCCTTCCTACGGATGGATGGTCACTCATAAGGCTGAGTTTGGTTTTCTGATCGGACATTTCCACGTATTTTATCAAAAGTCCTCATGCCACCACTCCCTCTTCTATAAATATCATGTTTACTCTTTCCATGCAAAATGCCATTTCTCATCAAATTCTTCCCAGTTTCCAGTCCTGGTTCCCTTTCCTCTGCAGCTGGATCCAGCGGACCCAGGCCCGGCCTCCTGGAGGCTGGGCCCCCGCCCACTGTGGCAGGAGGAATGTTGGGTCTCCCTGCCTTCCAGACCTTGGATCTGAAACCTCAGGTGGCCTTTTCTGTCCTGAGACCCAGCCCAGAGGGCCCGTCCCCTCAGGCAGTACAGCCTAGTGGTTATAACACCCACAGCTTCGGAGGTACCATCTCTCCCAATAAGTGGTTGGATTTCAGGCCCAAGTCTTTACTGGCCCCATTTATCTGCCATTCATTCATTCATTCATTCATTCACTCCCATGCAGGCTCTGGATCCAGACCGTCTGGGGTCAAGCCTGGTTCTGTCCGTCTCTCACTGAGTGAGCGGAGCAAGTTTCCTGACCTGAGAACACGGACAGACGCACTGCCCTGTGGCGAGGCCTGTCTGAGATGTGGATGCGCACGCCAGGCACGCACTGCCGCCTGCCGGCTCCTGTCTCTCATGCAGCCGCTCTCATGTGTGAAGACACACTGTGGCCTCCTGGTGCCTTTGAAGGCCACCCATCCTGGGGGCTCCCTCAGGCCGAGGCCGGCCACCCACATGGTCCGCACTCTCTGAAGTTTCAGGAGGATGGCAGACACCGAAATGGGACCTTATTAACCACTCACGGAGACCCGGCGCCTCTCCAGTGGGGGCAGAGAGGCTGCTGTCCAGAGAGGAGGCGGGGGCTGCCCCAGAGCAGAACCAGTGCTGACCCTCCCACGGGCCAGTGGCTGCGCATATGCTGAGTCTTGGAGGAGGGGTGGGACCCGCGGGCGGTGGCGCGCCATCAGACCGGACCCCCACTCACATTGGGCACAAAGCTGGGGGTCAGCGCCTTCTCGAACACCGCGTCCCAGTTCATGTCGGCCAGGTAGGGTGTGCTCTGCAGGTCACCGAGGCTGGACAGGCGGCTCTCGGGGTCCTTGGTCAGGAGCTGGGGACACAGGGCAAAGTGTTTGCCTGAGCTGTGCGCCACCAAGGGGGGGCGGGGTGCCGAGGGCAGGGTCACCAACCCCGTCGCGCCTCATCTGGGACGCTGTCATCGGAAGTGTCACCAACACCCATCTCTTTACAACAAGGAGGGACGGAGGGGTCAGGCTGCTTCCGCAGGGCATCCAGCCAGGGGCCCTTGGGCAGGGACGAACCCTGCAGCTGCTGGCTCCCCTTGGGGACCACGGCCCCGTGACACGCTGGCTTGAGGGGAGCACAGAGACTTGGTTGGAAAGACTGTAAGGAGGAATTTCTGACCTAGGGGAGTGGGCTGAAGGTGGCGCCCCTAATTTTCCAAACAAGCCTGTGTATATGCGGACCCTTGGGTGTTTACCGGAACCTTTATGCTTAATCTTTAGACGTGCTTGCTTAAAGGACACTGCAGACACCTGTGTGCTCCCAAGATTACGACCCAGCTGATTGTATCTAAAAGATAAACTTTATTCCAAACTGCTACTACAACAAGAGCCTGAAGAGGCAGCGAAGGAGGCCGTCTGGTTCCTATAGCCAGGCAGTCCCTTAGCCGTCTCTTTCACAGAAACATGCGTCTGAGTAATCGTTCATCCGTCACTCAGGGGCTGCTGGTCAGCCTGGCACTGGCTCTCCCTGGTAGCACAGAGGCTGCCAATTAAAAATAAAAGAATCATCTTCTCATCTCAGGACTTTCAGCTTGATAATGGACGTGCCACGTGTCACAGTTCCCCTCGGACAGGCGGAGGCAACCTCTGTGGCCTGGTGCACTGACTGCACTTGTCGCCAAGGGGACCATTCTCAGCTTCTTCTCAAACGGGTTCTGCTAATGAGGATGGTAAGTGTAAAAACCCCCACAGGGCCCTGACTGGTTTGGCTCAGTGGATAGAGCATTGGCCTGCGGACTGAAGGGTCCCAGGTTTGATTTCAGTCAAGGGCATATGCCTTGGTTGTGGGCACATCCCCAGTGGGGGGTGTGCAGGAAGCAGTTGATCGATGTTTCTCTCTCATCATAAATAAATAAATAAATAAATAAATGCCACCACAGGCTGCCCACCCCCCCCCCATGTCCACAGGGCTCTCTGCCCGGGGGTCACCTGCTCCTCTGGTGCAGGGAGCACCTGCCTGCAAAAAGGACAGGAGTCCTGGTTTGGAGGCCACTGCACCAGTGTGGCCCTGGGTCGCTGAGGCCTGAGTTCTTCCCGGAGAGGGACGGCCAAGCCTCCATGCCCAGCTCATGGCTGAATGATCCCTGGGGGGGGCCTGGTCAGCCGGTGGAGCTTGGAGGGGAGCCCCCAACAGCCTGTACCCCCAGTCACTGCAGAAATCTCCCGCTGTGCCCAGCGAGAGGGCCGGTCACCAGGTGAGGGACGCCTAACAGGATGTCATCTGTTGGTCACAGCAGCCTGTCTTAGGGGTGCACCCAAACGAGGGGTGCTGATTCAGACAGAGGCCCCACTTCTTTGCTGCACCTGGGCTCAGCGGTTGGGCAGCAGTGGTCTGACTCGCTGGGCGGGTTAGGGGGCATGGCAGGTGGAGACCAGTCGGGCTGAGGGCCACCAGCCCCTAGGAACCAGTGAGGACTCCAAAGCAAGTTCATGGATAGCAATTCAGTGCATCATCCCTGGGGGAGGAGTGAGTGCTGGGCTCGGGGTCAGGGAGCTGGGATAGAGCCCGCCTCTGCCCCTTTGCAGCCCCGTGACACTGACAGCAGGTTTCGCTTTCCTGAGCCTCAGTTTTCTCATCTCTACTATGGGGACAACACCACTACTCAGGGTCAAATACACAGGCTTGTAGCGATGAAGAGAGAAGACCCAGCTCATGGCCCTGGACTTACTATTCCCTCAACCAGCACGTGACCACCAGTGCCGCCAACTCCACGCATCTTGGAGGACTCCCAGTGGCCACAGCTGAAGGCCAGCTCGAAGGGTGCCTCCACCCCGGGCTCCAACTCTGAGAATCAGCCTTTCCAACAAGCTCCCGGGAGGTGCCGACCCGCTGGTCCCCGGAACACACTTTGAGAACCTCTGCTTCATTCTAACAGCAACAATTCCTGCACAAGGTACGGAGATGCCCAGTGTCCTTAAGCCCAGTGAGTCAACGACGCTTTGAAGAGCCACCTGCAGTGAGGACCTCTATGTACTGGGAGCCCGTGCCGGTGTGAAAGGGCCCGGTGTCGCCGTCACCACCGGGACTCCGAGCCAGGCTCGCCGGCCAGCAGCTTGTGACCCTAAATGCCAGACGCTGAGCCCGCATGGAGGTGGCTTAGAGCCCTGCTCTTCATCTCCTGTCCCTCCGTTTCCTCCTTCCTCACGGTGCCGGGAGGCCCGCGTCTGCGCTGCGACCTCACTCCCGCTAGCGGCGGCGGCCGCCCCTTACCTTCCTCAGCAGGGCGACCATCCCCTTGCACCACGTGGAGGAGTAGTGCACGCGCTCCGCCTGGAACATGCTGAGGATCTCAGCGACGGGCGTGGCCGAGTGGATCTCGTACGGCCTCTGCAGAAACAACGGGCGGAGTCAGAGAGCCACAGGACACTGCACTGGCCGGGTTAAAACCACAATACATCCGGCCGGTGCGGCTCAGTGGTTGGGCATCGACCCATGAACCAGAAGGTCACGGTTCGATTCCCAGGCAGGGCCCATGCCCAAGATTGCAGGCTCGATCTCCAGTAGGGGGCGTGCAGGAGGCAGCCAATCCATGATTCTCTCTCATCATTGATGTTTCTCTCTCTCTCTCCATTTCCCTTCCTCTCTGAAATCAATAAACACACATATATTTTTTAAAAGACAGAGTTTATCGTTGAAGCAGCAAGAGCTACTCCGTTCTTGGGGCTTTTGGCCATGTCATCACCTTTGACGGTTGTGACCCGTGAGGAAGGACAGAGGAGGAACTTTCCACTGGCCAAGGCCCAACCACGCTCAGGTCAACTGCTCGCCACGGCCACTGGCCTGACTGACTGTGCCAGACAGTCAGCGTCCCGCAAACGCTTGTGTCCTCTGGTTCTGACAAATACGATGGGCCCTCATACTCCTCCTCCGAGTATGTGTGTCCGTGGGACTATGGACGACAGGAACCGACCAGGAATGAGGAAGCCGGTGGGAGGTCAACCTTTTCATTCAGAGCTTGAGAAAATGAACAGACTCATCGGTTTGTTTGTTTTTTGCATTCTAAAAAACACCATGTACAGTAGTTCCTCTGAGGAATTCAGGGGAAATAACTGATCAAGAGTAGATCCCAGCTGCTTGAGCTACAGGGTGATTAGTAATACATATGTGCACTCTCAGAGCTCTGACGGGTTATAGGCTGCTTCATTCATTCATTCATTCATTCATGACCCATGTCACCACGCCTGGGCCCTGCTGTCACCTAGTGCTGGCTACGGGGCTGACAGTGCCTGCACGCAAAGGGCGAGGGCGCATCGCCAGTGGGGGAAACGGGACTCTGCCTGCTGTGCGGGCAGCAGAGCCAGGAAGGTGAGTGATAGGTGAACCGCACGCCGCAGCCCAGGGCAGCGAATGCCGTGATGACGGCTGCGCAGACTGAAAGGATGGGACAGTCCCCACTGTGCGCGGGGGAAACCGTGTCCTGAGGGGTAGGCGGCATCCTTTTCCAACAATCTCTGTGCAGAGAAAACACGCCTCCAAGTCAGTTTGTCATCATTCTTTCTGCTCAAATAAAACAACGAGACACTAGCTGCCAAGTAGCTCCACGGGTCATCTTCGGTTTTCCTGTTTAAATGCGATAAAGTGAAAATACGTCCGGACGCCCCATCTTTCTGGGACACAGAGCTAAGGTGTTCAGGGGAGATCTGGATGAGCAGACAAATGGAACCCATGAAGGACGCATGGCCTGTACCCCGTAAGGGCTTCAAAACAAGCCGGAAAGTGGGGAGGACATCGTGTTAGGGTGGGAAGAGGCAGCGTTGGAACTCACAGGTGCTCCCTCGCCCAAGCCTTCCCTCCCGACATCCCTTGCCCAGGAGCAGAATGAGGGGCTGAGTCAGAAGCTCGCTAAGCTCAGGGCCTCAGCGCTGGCACGCACACCATCGGGACTGGCACCCAGGCCTCCGGCTCCTCGCTGAGCTCCTTCCTGCCACCCGGGGCCGGCCCAGCAAAATGGTGTGCCTCGTCCCCCCAAGCCCGGGACGCCCCGAGCCCCCACTTCCACGGCCCTGTGTGCCCGCCGCACAGGTGCACGTCTTACCCAGCCCCGCAGCAGCTCGTAGGCCGTGACGCCCAGGGACCACCAGTCGACGGGGTAGGAGTACCCGGGGCCTCCGTCCACGTAGACCTGGAACACCTCCGGGGCTGCCAGAGACAGGAGGAAGAGAATGGCGCTGCGCGTCTCACCCACACTCACCGCCCCTGAGAGAGGGGAGTAGCGTCTTTGCAGACGTGGCAAGTTAAGGACCTCACGGTACAGTCACAGTGGGAGGACCGGCTCCTTACTGACTCCCAGTGAATCAGGCCGTGGTGTAGGCCCCTCCCACAGGGTCCCTGGCCTGGGTCATGTGACTTGCTCTGGCCAACTGGGCATCGGGAAATGCGAGGCAGGCAGAGTCCCGATCAGCATGTGGGGACTGGGATCTATCTCCTTGAGGCCTCTGTCGCCATGTGCGCAATCTCACTGTGGCCCCCGCGATGACGGAGACCACGCGGGGAGGGAGAGGCCCGTTCCTCTCAGCTCTCCTGGCGGAGCCCCCAGCTGGCCCAACGGCTGAATGAGGGAGCCCAGCCCAAACCAGCAAAGAGCCTTCCGGCCACATGGCAGGACTGTGAGAAGTCATATGTCATTATGGCTCTAAGCTACAAAGCTTTGACATGGTTTGTTGCTAAGGAAATGGAAACTAATATAGACATCGAGAGTTAAGAACTAAGAAAGACATTAATAGACTTATACAAGACAAAAGAGCAACATCCATTTGAATTTAAAAACTCAGTCATCAGGCAAGAGAACTCAGGGGGGAAAATCAGAAATAAAGGGGAACTATTTCAGTAATAAATACTTCACCAGAAAGCACACAAAGTGACTATACAGTCAACAGATCATGCTTTAAAGGAAAGAGAAAGAAAAATGAGAAAAGTTTAAACAAATAAAGGAAGATATAAGAAAGATCTGAAAATGACAAATATTGAAGGGTGGCAAAGGAAACCCAACTCTCAGATCATCGGCGTCCTTAGAGAAAACAGAATGCTTTCCAAAAGTCATGAAAAAAACCAGCCTGAAACCACACATTGTGCACTTAGCATACAGACCGAACTGACCGACACCAAGGCTATATTCTGGTAAAACTCCTGGGCTTGAATCAAAAGAAAAGAAAGGTTGGTTGGTTTTTCCCTAAGCCTGAGCCAAGCTTCCTGGCTGGGCAGGAGTTCCCTAGAACAGCAGTCGCCAAACTCTCAGACCTCACGGACCACCAGTGGCCCACAGGCCGGTTGGCGACCGCTGCTCCAGAGGTTTCCCTAAAGAAGACACAGGAGGGGAAGGTGTGTCTGGCAGGGCAGACAGCCTGGGTGAAGCCCGAAGGTGTCAGAGAGCCGGGCACAGCCTGGGCATGGCTGGGGGTGGGGGTGAAGCAGGAGAGGATCCTGATGCCTCAGCCACCGGGCAGGTCACATCCCAAAGGGGTGCTGGGACACTCACCCATGTAGGGCTTGGTGCCGGCCATGGAGGAGGCCTTCTCCGCACCCTGCACCACTGTCGCGATGTTGAAGTCCGTGATGTGGACGTGCCCTGGAGACAGAGAAGCAGAGGCCCCGTTAGCGAGAGCTGCAGGCGGCTGTGCTACTCCCGGTGCGACTGAGAGCGGTGGTCTGCGAGGTGCCGGCCGGTTAGAGCGCCTGCTTACGCTTGTGTTTTATCCGATACTTTGATAACGTCCCCCCCGACCCCAGGATTACTCACAGTAGCCAAGACACGGACACAACCTAAGTGCTTATTAATAGACAAATGGATAAAGGATGTGTCATGTATATACAGTGGCGTATTATTCAGGCAGAAGAAAGGACATCCTGTCCTTTGCAGCCACAGGGATGGACCTGGAGGACATCATGCTAAGTGAGATGAGTCAGACACATAAAGACAAATTCTGCAGGGTATCACCTACATGTGGAGTCTAAAAAATTCAAATTCATAGAAACAGAGAGTAGAAAGAGGATGCCAGGAAATGGGGTGGGGAAGTGAGGAGAGGTTGGTAAAGGGCAGCTTTAAGATGAATAAGGTCTGAGGAGCTAATGGATAACATGGAGACTGTAACTGATAACACTGAGTTATATAATTGAAAATTGCTAAGAGTACAACTTAAATGTTTATATACACTGAGTGGCCAGATTATAATGACCACCTGACGTTTGTAGGCAAATTAGCTATACTTTCATGCTGAAGTTGCTAGAGGGCCAGATCATTATAAACGTCTGAATAGCACAACATACCTAAGTATCGTTGCTGATCAAATTCATCCTATCACGTTGATGGCAG